CTAATGCATGTAGTAGCCTCCGTGCCTCTGATAAGCACGTCATTTTAAGCTGGTGCACCGCTAGTGTAACTTTGTTTGTTTTGCGCAAGCTGCTACAGTTCCGTTCCGTGTAACAGAAACACTCGGTGTAGCGGAACCTTTACGATTAATTAACCGTGACATTTTAATGCATGGTTAATCGCTGCATCCCTAGCACACACAAAACCACTTTATAGGGTGAATTTATTGTGAAATTTTAAATAGGAATATAACAGGTCCCACACTATCGACAGGCATTTCTCTGGTGGAAATAAAGCTTCGCTGTTTGGTTCCTCTGTCACAGTTCACCTAATGCATGTAGTAGCCTCCGTGCCTCTGATAAGCATAGCATTTTAAGCTGGTGCACCGCTAGTGTAACTTTGTTTGTTTTGCGCAAGCTGCTACAGTTCTGTTCCGTGTAACAGAAACACTCGGTGTAGCAGAACCTTTACGATTAATTAACCGTGACATTTTAAAGCATGGTTAATCGCTTCATCCATAGCACACACAAAACCACTTTATAGGGTGAATTTATTGTGAAATTTTAAATAGGAATATAACCTGTTTCGTATTTGATTCTTAGGTGAATTTTCCCAGTAATTTTGACACGGGCAACAATGCAGGCGGTCCCACTCACCTCCCATTGGTGGCGCTATCTCCCATCATCCACCCTCGCATCAGGGAGGTCCGCACAGGCCTGGGCTCCAGCGCACGCAAAGGTGCCACACATCTCAAAATAAGGCTAGACTATGAGACTCCATGAATGTGTATAATATTAAAGGAGAGGGACATTCCAGGGAGCGTTTGAACAAAAATGATTAGGAATATATTTGGTCCATTTACCATTTTAAAATACATACATTAATGCATATATGAAATATTACAATTTTTTCAGTTAGGTAACACTTTAAAATAAGGTCCATTAGTTGGCATTATTTAATGCATTAACTAACAATAAGCAACACATTCTTACAGTATTTATTAATCTTTATTAACGTTAGTTCATGTTAGCTCACGGCCATTAATTAATATTGACGGATACAACTTTGAACTTTAGTAATGTGTTAGTAAACACTGAAATTAATATTAACTGAGATTAATAAATGCTTTACACGTATTTTTAATTGTTAGTTCCTGTTAACTAATGTTAAGAAATGGAACCTTATTGTAAAGTGCTACCTTTTGTAAAATTATTTGGAAGCATACAGATGACCTCAAAGCAGAACAGAAATGCACTAAAAAAGGCAAAATTCTTAATTGTTTTTATTATTCATCTTATTTTTTTTCCACAGTGCAAAAAAAAGACTGTGACTGAAGTAACAATACATTTTAACCATATGTATGAACTAGTGTAAACAGTTTTGAAAAGAATATACTTACTGTAGCAATGAGCTGTATGCAATGATGCAATAATAATGTAGAAAAAGATGGTAAGACGAAGTCTCAAACTTTTTAAATCTTTTTGTGGCTTGCAGTGGATGAATCTATTTGTTTATATGTCTGTGTGTGTTTCTTTGAATATTGAATAAGATGTACTCATATGGATAATATTTCTTTCTCTCTTAGACTTCCCTCAGTCTCCCATCTATCTCCATGACCGCTACAGCTCACCTGCAGCCGGCAGCGCTAAGAGACGCTTGTTTGGGGACGATCCTCCACCACAGTCCCCACTGAAAAGAATCTCAGTCACTCCCATCAAAATCATTCCCAACAGCACAGAACACAACCAGAACACCACCGCCACAACGACTGTCCTCTCCATGGCCACCGGAAACGGCCAGCAGCTCACCATTCCACTGCCGGGTACCACTATTGTTTCTTGTTGACGTTTGTTTGACAAAAATTCAGTTTTTGTTGACGTGATGGTTCCTCATCCTTCAGTGGTAAAGAACGAGACGGGCGGCATCACAGTCATCCAAATTCAGGCCAGTGATATGAGCCCCCTCACCGCTCAATTCTTACTGACGGCCTCCCCCAGCCGAACCGCAGCTCCACCCGCCAGCTCCGACGCACAGCCTCCGGCCGTCAACAGACCCCGCCGCACTGGATCCCTCGCCCTCTTCTTCAGGAAGGTGAGGAAATGTGTGCTGGGCTTTTTTTACACCTGCTCTTGAATGAAGATCTTTGTTAGCCGAAGTGCATATATGCTGTTGTTTGTCCATTCAGGTGTATCATTTAGCCAGCGTGCGTCTGCGAGACCTGTGTCTGAAGCTGGATATCTCATCAGAGCTGCGAGGGAAGATCTGGACGTGTTTTGAGCACTCGCTGCTGCACTGCACTGACCTGATGAAGGACAGGCACCTGGACCAGCTGCTTCTCTGTGCCGTCTACATTATATCAAAGGTACGGCTTTTCAGATGTGGAGAGAAGGGCTACTGCAACGCTGTTGTGCCGAGTTACAGCAAGAACTATCTTTCAAATTTTAGTGTCCAAGATTTTTTTATGTTTTTTTTTTTTTTGGTTTGTTTTGTTTTTCAAATAAATTTCTCACCAAGGCATGGATACACACTTGCACTTATTTATATACATTTATATTTGTAGTAAAAATACTGACACATTGTGAAATATTATTAAAATTTTTAAAAAGTGTTTTCTATTTTAATATATTTCAAAGTGTAATTGTGTAAATATTCCTGTGATGCAATGACGAATTTTCAGCATCATTACTCCAGTCTTAAGTGTCACATGATACTTCAGAAATCATTTTAATATACTGATTTGCTAAAAAAAAAAAAAAAACATTTCCTATTATTATCAATGTTAAAAACAGTCCTTGCTTATTAAAAAAAATTTACTACTTTAAAAAAATATTGACCCAAACTTTTGCTTGTGTGCATTAAGCAGAATTATCTCTTGAGTGATTTTCATTTAAATTATCTTTTTTTTTTCTTCTTTTTTTTTTTTGGCTTGTTTGCTGCTTCTGCAGATCACAAAAGATGAGCACACTTTTCAGGACATTATGAAATGCTACCGAACCCAACCTCAAGCCAACAGTCACGTGAGTATCAACAGTCTTAGTCTTTCCAAACCTGCAACAGTTTTTTTTTTTTTTTATGTGCATGTGCATAATGTGGAAATGCACATAAATGTCAAAGGTACACAATGTCTGTTCGCTCCAGCTTCCTTATGTCAAAAACCTTGGAGTTTGAACTATGATGACAGCACATATGAGGCTTTGGTCTTGTTGGTGTGTTTTTAGGTGTACCGCAGTGTTTTACTGAAGAGGCAGCAAACAGATGAGAACATGGAAGTGGATCCGCCGGCAGAACAGTGTAAGGGTAATGTCCTAAATGTTTCTTTATCCTTTTTTTTCTAATGCACAATATATTACTGAAGAAAATGTACCAGTTTCCACAAAAATATTAGCAAATCATCATATTCGAATGATTTCTGAAGGATCATGTGACATTTAAAGGGTTTTTTTTTTACGATTTCAAGTTTTCCTTTCTCTTTGGAGTGTTACAAGCTGATTGTGCATAGATAAGATCCCTGAAGTTGCAAAGACTAAAGTCTCAAAACCAAAGAGATATTCTTTATCAAAGTTAAGACTCTGCCACGCCCCCCTAAAATGGCTCGTTCTAACATGCCCCCACATATCTACCTCACTATGTGGAAATATTTGCATAATGCCGTCCAAATGTGCAGCAAAGAAAGAAGGCGTGGTTTCAGTAACCGCAGTTAGTGTTGAAGCAGCCATGTGTTGAAGGAGACGCTGTGTGTTTCTAGGTGAAAGCAAAAGCACTTTATTTGGCCTTCCGGAAGTAGATGCATTT